ACTTTTATTGTTTGTTACACTTTATTGTGTTGACGTCTGGTTTTGCAATGTGTCAATACTGTGAATTTGTGGTTGCGAAATTTAGAGGTTGCGAAATTTGTGGTTGTGACGTCTGCTTGCGTCAAAGTGTTTTTTATCCCAGAACGATCAATTGTGGACAATATAATTTTAGCTTTTGAGACTCAACATTTTTTAAAGAGAAAGTGTACGGGTAAAGAAGGATTTGTAGCCTTGAAACTTGATATGAGTAAGGCTTATGACATGATGAGCTGGGATTTTCTGAAAGAAATTATGCTACACATGGGGTTTCACCCAAGATGGGTGGAAATTATGATGTGTGTCTCTTCTGTCAGCTATTTTTATTCAGTTTGATAAGGATTTTTTGTGGCCTATTATACCGTAGCGAGGGCTTAGAAAAGTGGATCCTCTGTCGCCATACCTTTTTATCTTAGTAGCGGAAGGCTTGAGCGCCATGTTGAGAAGCGCCGATCTACAGGGAGAGGTGCATAGGTGGCAGTGTGTAGGGGGCACCTAGGGTGTCACATCTATTATTTGTTGATGATTGTTTCATGTTTTTATGGCTATCCAGGGCGAGAAATATCTTACAACTCTATGAAAGAAATCCGGGGCAGATGGTGAATTTTAATAAATCATCATTGACCTTTAGTCCAAATGTGGGTGAGTCATTCACGGATCAGTGCTGCCAGTTATTCTGAATCCCAAAGGAGAGTGGCCGGAATCTTTATTTGGTTTTACCGGCACTAGTTGGAAAAATTAAAAATTACTAGTTTGGGATACCTAAGAGATCGGATATTTAATAGAATAAAGAGTTGGAATAACAGATTTCTTTCAAAGGCGGGGTGAGCAGTGTTGTTGAGAAATGTGATGCAAGCAATGCCAAATTTGAAATGGATGTTTTTCTTCTCCCAAAAGATTTGTGTGAAGAGGTGGAAAGGTGCCAATTTCGAGCAAAAGGGGCTCAGGTGGAGGCGGTCGGATCACATGTGCAGATCGAAAGAAGCAGGAGGGTTGGGGTTCCGGAAAAGTAGAGAATTTAATTTAGTTATGCTGGGTAATGCGAGCTAAGTATTTTTCTGATTCTAATTTTTTAGAAGCCAAGGTAGGTGATAATCCATCTTTTATTTGGAGGAGTATTTTTTAATACCAAAGTATTTTGAAAAATTATATTAGGTGGCGGGTGGGAATCGCATTAATGTTTAAGTCTGGGCGGACGCTTTGTTGCCATGGGAGGGAGCAGGAAGGGTTACCTCGGCTACACCAAATGGGATAAGGGATATGAATGTGGCTGCCCTGCGTGATCATACCGGGAAAGTATGGAACAGGGAAAGAATTAATGAATTATTCAATGAGGATCGGAGGATAGAAAACTAATTCTGAGTATGCTATTAGCTGGCAGAATAGAGAGGATGGTTTTTGGTGGACTGGTGAACATAATGAATTTTCTCGGTGAAGAGCTGCTATAGGATCAGCATGGGAGATCTGCGTGCAGGTGCCTGGGAGGGTTGGAGTTGTGTTTGGGATATGCAGGTACCACCAAAGTTTTAATATTTTGTTTGGCAGGTTATAGATGACACTCTTCCGACCGTGGATAATCTAAGAAGAAAAGGGGTGATTGTTCAAGGAGGATGCGTGGTGTGTGGCAGTGAGGAGGAATCTCTAGGCCATGCACTGTGGGATTGCCCCGGGGTGGCGAAGATCTAGCGGTTGGCTGATGTGTCAACAGATGGAAGCTGCATGTCAGTCGAGGATTGGCTTCGATTGAATGTGTCCAAACTGGGCATGGAAGCACAGAGTAAATTTGTTTTGATTATTTGGAGTATTTATAAAAGAAAAAATAACGGGGTTTGGAAGGACCAACAGCAGGATGCGAGTGGTGTGCTCAATGTAACAGCCAACATGACTAATAATTGGACGGAAGGCCGGAAGCACATGCTGAGGAAGGGAAGAGAGCAGGAGGTCGATTGGGGAGCACGGTTGCTGCTCACTGGTGTAGGCCGAAACAAGGCTTTGTCAAGATTAATGTTGACGGGGCGAATAACCAGGGGGGAGGTGTTAGAGCTTGGGGGTGGATTGTTCAGGATAAGTATGGAGATTTTGTTACGGCTAGCGAGGTCTCGCATAAGGCCGAATGGACGACGGAGGAGACAGGGGTGTTGGGCATTCGGGATGCTATTCAGGGAGGGAGAAATTGCAGCTAGCTGGCAAAATGTGGAGATAGAAACTGTAACACTTGAGATTTAATATAAACGGATTAATAGTACTACTCATACCAACAGAGGTGCATCTCCTTTTAAGGGAGCTCATTACCCAAGAACTCCAAAGTTAAGCGTGCTTGCACGGGAGTAGTCTTGGGATGGGTGACCCCCTGGGAAGTTTCTCAGGGCGCGCATGAGTGAGGACAAAGTGCGCGGTAAAGGCTTGTGGTGGTTTGTGAGGACAGTACTATTGGTCCGGAGTAACTACCTCGGGTCCGGTGGGGCCGGGGTGTTACAGAAACAGATGCCCTCACAGTGGTTCAAGGATTGCATCAGAAGAAGGGTTTTTCTTATTTGCAGCTTATTCTGGATGATATTAAGGGGGTTCTTGAAACTAAGAATAATATTGTTATCTTTTTTGTAAGCGGTCTGCAAATCATGCGGTTCATGTCCTAGCCATGGCCGGTGTGAATCTACCAGATCAGTGTATTCATTATGAGGGTGTTCCTAATTGTTTTCACAACCATTTGGCTAACGATCTTTTTGATTAATACGTAGTATATGATTTCCGTTTGACGATAAAAAAAATGTTCTCCATGTAGTGATGTAGTTGCCTCTTAAATTTTAGAACTCTCTTTGTTGTCTATGATATATTTAGAACTCAGATTTACTAAGTTGAATTAGTCATACCTAAATGTGCATGAGCTTTGCCTCAAAATGTCGATAATGTTCGGGAGTGTTTGCGATTACTTGTGCTTTTTAAAAGTGATTTTTTAAGAAATTATTGGAAAAGTGATTTATAGTAAAAGTGAGTAGTGTTTATAAATAGATGTGATTTTACTTAGAATGTAAAAGTTGGAGTATTTGATAAAAAGTGATTGTTGATGTAATATATAGTTAAAATACAAAAATACTCTTCTCAAATTAAATGGCGAGTTAAATTTTCTTCAAATAAACAATTAAAGAGGAGGGAAAGTTGATGTTTCCCTTCTCTCTTTCGCAAGGGAACCAGTTCGCCGCCCAAACAAGCTGGTCGTCGCCGACTGTAATCAGAAGCCAACCCCAATGGACTCCTCTTTCTCTTTCCAGATTAGGACCCAAAATATACTCCCTTCGTCCCCCAATTAAGTTCTCGCTTTATTTTTTGGACAGTCCCTAAATTAAGTTCACACTTCAATACTTTTCTTATTTGGCAAATTATCTACATCAAAACAGTGTCAAACAGGGTTTAAACAGTGCAAAATAGTGCACTCCACAGTAAAGTCAAATTTATTTTTTAAATATGTGTGAAGTCAAATCAAAAACTTAATTGGGGGGCGGAGGGAGTATAAGAATGGAAAGTAGGAATTCAAACCAGCGTTGTGCTATTTCTTTAAAGGAATTTTGGGGGCTTGAACAAGTCCTCCTCCTTGCCGGTGTACGGACTGGTAGTATTTCTTTAATAGAGCGCTTTCTTGCGTAAATGGGGGAAGATGTTGCCGGGGTGGAGAAACAGATGACTGGTGCGGTGTAGAGAAGAAAGAAAAAGGGGGCATTTTGGGTTTAATTGAATTTTTTATCTAATAATTATCTCTAGAGTTCCAATTATTTACTAAAATACCTAGAAGCAGTTAGAAGCACCAAAATCTGAGCTTCCATCTTTTAGCTTTGAAGTGCTTAATTTAAGCAGAAACAATCATTTGAAAACACTTATTTCAACTTTTTTCAAGCCAAAAGCATAAAAGTGTTTTTTTAATCTATAGCAAACACTCTCTTCATAACACTTTTAAAACATTCTTGAAAACATTAAGGACATGTTTACTACACGGGTTACTAAATGATGCTTATTAAGACTCGCGTTAATAAGCGGCGCATAAAATAAGCAGTGTTGTAAGCTCATGTTTACTTCAAAGGATTTAAAAAATCGTTTAACATTGAAATGGTCAAAATAACACTATACATATACAAACACATAAACATTCATGAACACAAGTATATAATATAATATGTAGGGTAACCTCGTACGTGTACTCATACCCCTAACCCCTACCCCTCCCTGTCCTATACCATGTACCCCTACCTCCTAATCTACACCCTACCCCCAATTCCACACTGATGTGAGTTTTCTCGCACTTAAAATAGATTGTAATATAGTGGTGTAAGTACGAGTATCATCTCCACAGGGACGGACAAAAGGGAATCAAAGATTAACTAAATTCAGCGATTAAAAAGAAATAAATAAAAATGTGTCGTGCAAGATTGGTTGCTGGAAAATAAAAATGCGAATAAAACGATTAAACTAGAGGGTTCTTTCTAATTAATGACGAAGGGAACAGAGATTGATTCCGGGGGTAACCAGATTTCTGGCAGATCAGGCCTAATTACATGAAATTAATTTAACTGAGCCTAGCTAATCACTACTAAGTTCTTACCGCTCTCGCGGCGTAGAGTACAATAAATTAGGGGACCAGGCTGATCTCTCATGCGACGGGATGCTAAATTATTGCCAAGACGAGCGAGCTTACGGCCCCTTAATCGCTACTAATCTCTTAGCGAACGATTAAGTGTGTATGAATGTGTCCTAGAATAAATTAGATCTCTCTTAATTTATTCTACAAGCAATTGTAATGCTAGCCACGGTTCCAAATTACAAAAGATATCAATTAAATTATTCAAACACAAATTAAACGGCATTCATGCAATTAACCCATCAAGAATCTAGACATACATCATGATCAAACCCTTCATCAATCCCAAATCCCTAATTAAAACTACTCACAATTCATAATTGAAGAATCAATAGAATTGGAATAAAAAGAATTAATTGTCATTAATTTAAAAGGTGAAACTTACAAAGAATCCCAAAAGATTGATGAACAAGGCTGAAAAGCCCTCTAAAATTCGTGCTAGGCACTCTCTCTAAGCTCCCCCTTGAAAACGGAGGTTTACAGGCTGTTTAAATAGAAAAATCGGGTGAAATTTGAGTTAGATTGGGATTTCCGGAGGCAGGCACGGTGCCAGGCACGATCGTGCCTCCCTCCAGGCACGATCGTGCCTGCCTGGCAGTAGCTCCGCGATGCTTTCTCTTCACGCACGATCGTGCCTGACTTTGAGGGCACGGTCGTGCCTACTTAACTTCTGAATTTGGCAATGCTTCCTTCATGAAAGTTGTAGATAATGAAGTCCTCTATCCACCACAACTTGCAGAATTGGATTTGAATCATCCAATCAAGAGATATGATCAAAATGGTGGAAGGTCTCATTCTGAAATCGCAACAGGGATCATCTGACTTCATCGTCTGTTTTCACCTTATTCCTCTCATATTCTAGCAAAGGTGTCTTCATATGATTTGTAGACCTTGAAGTTAGATTTCATTTGGACTTTGAATCGTGTTCTTTGGATGTTTCTACAAGGAGATAGGCTTGAACGATTGACAGAAGGTCATCCTGATTGCCGTTTTCAAGCTCTTTTCGTCTTCTTTTGATCTCATAACCAATCTTAGAGCTCTTTTGCCATCAAATCTTCATCGTGAACCTCCCGGAGACCTCCAATGCTCTCAATTCACTCTCAAATGCTTCTCAACTCATCCCAATTGCTTCTCAAGCGCCGGTGCCGGTCTCAAATTTACTGATTTTGACTCCAAATGACACAAAACTCGAACCAGCGCCTGATAAACACAACTTGAGCTAAAATTGAGACTTGTAACACCTTAAAGCTAGGGAAAACCATCAAAACCGATCCCAACACGCATCAAATGCATGTCTAAATACGGACTTATCACACACCTTTGACCCCTACCCCAACCCTTACCACGACCATACCCATACCCCTAACACCTACCCTACTCATTGGGGTGGGGGTCGGGGTAGGGTCAGGGTAAAGGCATGCGGTATTGGGTAAAGGGGTAGGGGTTACGGGTGGGGTACGATCGGGGTAGGGTAGGGTGGGAGTGGGGAAGGGGTAGGATGGCTAGGGTGGGATGGTGGTGGGGTTGAGGTAGGGGCATGTGGTAGGGGTAAAGGGGTAGGGATAAGGGGTTACAAGTGGGTGCGGGGGTAGGTAGGGCGGTAAGGGGGGTGGGGTCGGGGTCGGTGTGGGGCTGAGGTAGAGGCATGTGATAGGGGTAAAGGGGTCGGGGTAGGGTAAGGAGTTACGGGTGGGGGTAGGATGGGTTGGGGTCGGGATCGGGGTTGGGGCCAAGGTAGGTAGGTGGTGGGGGGTAAAGGGTTGGGGCCATGGTAGGGGGTAAAGGGGCAGGGTCGGGGTAGGGTAAAGGGGTATGATGTAGGGTGGGATTAAGGAGGGGTCAGGGTGGGGGTAGGATGGCGTAAGGTAGGGGTAAGGGCGCGATGGGTAGAGGGGTAAAATAGGTAGGGACAAGAGGTAGGGGTAAGGGTAAATTCGGAAACTGGAAAAGCTTAAAGTGCCGCTTAATGAATACATGAGGGATGATATGCTTAGTAAGCGGCACTTGAAGCACCTCTTTCGATTACTAAGCAGATTTTAAGCCGCTTGCGTGTTTACTTCATATGTCTTATCAATCTGACTGTGACTTTAGCAGCGAAGCAAACACCAAAGTTTGAAAATTAAAATTTTCACTTGGTCAGTTCCCCGCCACTAAAGTTTTTTAATTTAGTTTGAATATACTGCTAAGATAACATGCAGCAAATGAAGTGTTTCATACAGCATCCATAAGGGTATAAGACCATAAATCAGAAACAGGTTTCGTAATAGAACAACACAATTCAGTACGCAACATGACTGGTAATTTGACTATTTGAGAATATCTAAAATGATACTCCACGCGTAACATTCATATATTCCCACTTTCTTTTTTTATCCGTAACATTCATATCTTCTCATTTCTAAATCTTCTCATCATACCCTCAATAATTTTAAAATTAATACACTATTACAACTACTTTTTTAGATTTATCTTCATTTCAGCACATTATTTCATTATCTTCGTATCATACCCTCAATAATTGATATCTCTTTTAAATATAACTGTTACAGAAATAGTAATAAAAGCGGAGAAAAAGACAATACCTTCGAGGAGACCACTCATCGGTCATTCGTCGCTTCTTCTTTGGAACCTTCTCTCTTTAGCTAATTTGATGTTTTCAGTTGTTGCTTTGGACTATTTAGTACTCCGTGTTTAGTAGGAGTTTGAGACATTAATTAATACAACCGGAACTGGAATCGTCAATTTCTCATTCGAACAAGAGAATTGGAACGGTATGGCCATATCATTGGAATTTGGAATATTAACTACTAGAAGGGAAAACTGTCAAATAGGTCCCTGAACTTTCATAAAAAGGTCAAATAAGTCTTTATATAAGAGGCTATGTCCGGCCGTCGCGATTTGGGGCGGTTCCCGGTGAAATTTTTTGATAAATTTTTTTGAGCATCTTATTCATCAAATCTAGTTTACTCATACCATATTTCAGCTAAACCTTCAATCGGGAACGCATTCAAATTAATTCTTGAAGATTACTGAGCATTTAATTGCACAGTTATCTTCAAGAATTAATTTGAATGCGTTCTGAAGTTTTCGCTGAAATTTGGTATGAGTAAACTAGACTTGATGAATAAGATGCTCAAAAATTTTCATCAAAAAAATCCACCGGGAACCGTTCCAAATGGCGACGGCCAGACAGAGCCTCCTATATAAGGACTTATTTGACCTTTTTATGAAAGTTTGAGAACCTATTTGACAGTTTTCCCACTACTAGAACGTTTTTAACTTGTTTCGGAAACACCATGTTTTTGGATTTATAAGGTATCTGCTATTTTTTTTTCATGTACCACATGATTTTTAAATTCATGAGCTAGAATTATGTAATAATAAGAGTAAGTGAGGTTGAAATTACTTTTCTGGTCTTATGTAATTATTTTTCTATTAACTTATTTAAATATGGCTTTGTTTGGTCTTATCTAAATTTGAAAATCTTAATAAATGGTATATTAATTAAGTAATTTCAATCTCACTTACTCTTATTATTACATAATTCTAGCTCATGAATTTAAAAATCATGTGTTACATGAAAAATATAGCAGATACCTTATAAATCCAAAAACATCGTGTTTCCGAAACAAGTTGAAAACGTTCTAGTAGTGGGAAAACTGTCAAATAGGTTCTCAAACTTTCGTAAAAAGGTCAAATAAGTCCTTATATAGGAGGCTCTGTCCGGCCGTCGCCATTTGGAACGGTTCCCGGTGGAATTTTTTTATGAAAATTTTTGAGCATCTTTTTCATCCAAGCAAAGAGAACATTTTCCTTGTTGGCCAGCATTTATCAAAGATTGAACATTGGGGATCCCTGCAAAGAGAACATTTCCTTGTTGGTCAGCATTTAGCAACGATTGAACAATGAAGAGTTTTATTCCACAAAAAGTGAGAATTCCACAAGCAATAAAAGGCACTCAATATATACAAATAAGTTGGTGAAACATACCCAGATCTCTCATTGTTAACATCGTGTAATCAAGCATATTTTTTAAAAAGCATGGACAAAGCCTCTGGAATGGCAGAAGAACACGGTAGGAAACTCAATGTATGGGGTGCACAGATGACTGAATATAACTATCAACTTGAAAGTGACAAAAAAGGTTAAAACCTATCATCTGGCACAAACCCCTTTCTGATCATTTCATCATGGAACAAGAAAGCATCCTTTATGTTGTCTTGCAAAACATATCCATTTATCAATGATGTATATGTTGATCTGTCAGGATTTATTCCTCTTTCCATCATCTTCAGGTATACCATTTTGGCATCTTCCATTCTATCCACCCTACAAAACCCATCCAGAATGGCATTGTATGTTACCACATCAGGTAATATACCATGATTTTCCATTTCATCAACTAATCGCAATGCTTTGTCCAATCTCTCCTCTCTAATCAGACCATGTATTAGAGTATTATATGTAACCAAATCAGGAAACACTCCCTCAGAGTGCATCTTAGCAAGAAACTCTCCTGCTTTTTCAGCATTACCATATCTGCAATATCCTTTAACAAGGGAGTTGCATGTGATCACGGTCGGCTTGATTCCTAAACCGATCATCTCATCATACAATCTCAATGCATAAAAAACACCACCCTTGTTGGAGTAACCATTTATTAAAGTGCTATATGTAACACAATTAGGATGTATATTTTCAGATATCATATGATCTCTTAGTTCAAAAGCTCTTTCCATATCACCATCCTTGCAAAACCCATCAATCAAGATGTTATATGTTACCACATCTGGCTTGAGATTGCTTTGAAGCATAGAATCAAATAGTGAGAGTGCCTTTTCCATGCTACCATTCTTACAATATCCATTTATAAGTGTCGTGAACGTACAAAAATCGGGCAACACACCCCTTTCAACCATCTCTTTGAAAATTAGGTCGGCTTCAGTAAGCATCTTTTCTTTGCATAAGCCATTCAAAAGAGTATTGTAACCAACTACATCCATGGCCAAACCTTGAACTGACATTTCATCGCGCATTTTTAAAGCTTCAGATATAGAATGGTTCCTACAAAAGCCACTAATGAGAAGGGTATATATTACATTATCTGGGACAATCCCCTTAGATTTCATATCCTCGTAATACACTAATGAACGATCAATGCGGCCAATTCTTGAAAATAACCCAATTAGTGAAGTATAACTAACCAAATTTGGACATACACCAAGATGATCCATTTCTTGGAAAATGGATTCAGATTCTAACACGTCATCTTTTCTGCAACACTCAGCAAGCAATGCATTATAACTACAAGTATCAGGGCTGCACCCACTACACACCATCTGATTCAAAACATCCCTTGCCTTCTGATACTGTCCCTTCTTACATAGTCCTTTAACAATTGAGTTATAGGTCAACAAACACGGTTTCAATCCCCTGAGACACATCAGGTTCATCAATTCCAACCCCTCATCTACAAGACCCTGACGACAATATGCACTAATCAAGGTGTTGTAAGTCACAATATCCTCCAAAATCCCTTTTTCTTTCATTTCATCAATAAACACCTTTGCATCCTCAATCTTCCCGACTTTACAAAATGCATTAACCATTATGTTGAGCGTATACACATTAACTGGAACACCACTTCTGATCATTTCCCTGTACACTTCCCATGCCAAATCAACCCATTCGATCTTCACTAAGCCGCCAAGAAGACTGTTACAAGCATTTATAGTAACACAAAGCCTTCTGCTAAGCAGCAACCTGAATGCTTCTACAGCTTCCCTCAGCTTCCTAGCTTGCACATAAGTCCTAATCAACAAATCAAAAACATACGAATTCGATCCACACATACTGTAAGTGTAAATCATGGACTCAACCGTCTCGGCCCTAGAAACGCCACTCTTACGAACCATTCTCAGTATCAAAGCCTGTGCTTCGGAGATTCTCTTGCACCTAACGAGTATTTGAACAGCAGCGCTGAGGGAGGTGGACGAATGCTTGAAATTGGGGTTGTTTGAAGCAACAGAATCGATAAAGTTCGAAGCTGAAGGCAAATTATCGCTACATTTTCTAATAACTTCGAGATAAACCGATGTATCTAGGCGAAGAAACAGGGAACTCCGATGATGCGTACCTTGTTTGAGAGTCCACATTATTTTCTCGACCAAGAAGGTGTCTACAGGATTTGCAATTATGTTTGGGAATTCATTCGAGTAGTGGGATGGCCCTGAAAATGGAGGAGTAGCTGAAGATGATGATGCATTCAGAAATGGCTTTGTTTTGCGTAGTAGCAGCCTTTGTGTTGACATCGGTGGAGGGATTGAATGAGCAATTGCAACAAGCGTGGCAAATGCTCCCTTATACCTATTTATTTTTTTTTTTTGAAAGGATACCTATTTATTTAAAGGAAGGTGCGTTTTATAACAACTATAGTCTATAGTATATGGGAAAATATTAAATATGGGAAAAGGGCAAATAAGTCCTCGAACTAACCAAAGTGCAAATTATACTTTATATAGGAGGATCTGTCCAACCATCGTCATTTGGAGAGGTTCCCAGTGGAATTTTTTGATGAAATTTTTTTAGAATCTTTTTCATTAAATCTAGTTTACTCATACCAAATTTCAGCTAAAAATTCAATCAAAAAAGCAGTCAAATGATTTTTTGAAAAGTGTATTACATTAAACAATTTCTAAATATATTACCAATATTTGGAAATGTAAACTTATAGTGTTGACTGTTGAGCATCATTATCAATATATTTAAAAATTGTTCTCAATTATATTTATTTCTCAAGTACCAAAAAATATCTTAAGTGTAAAAAAATTGATCAAGTATATTTATTTCTCAAGTAGGACTCATTTATTCATATTAAAAGATAAATTGATTAAAATTTCCTCAAATAGGAATGAATGAGTTCTATTTTATAAATAAAAAAATGATAGTCTTATTTATGAATTTAACATTGTTTGAGTCCTATTTAAAAAGGATTCTCTATAACTTGTTCCATGTAAAATTTTATTTTTTAAATTGTCTGAAAAGTGAAAGCCTATAAAATTGTCTCAAACCCCTCTTACCCATCCTCTACTCATTCCTAAAATCCTAGGACATCAACCTCAGTCTATTTAGTAAAACATACAACTTTTACTTAAATCGAAGTTAATCCATAATCTTCCTTGAATAGGAGTAAATATTAAATTTTTACCCCTAATACCTCTAATACAATTAATTAATTTACCCCTAGTTTTCTTGGGCAACTGGCTCAGTGTGTTGGTGGTGGGCAACGATCGGCGGCAGTAGCAGCGATCAACATCAACGTCAGAATGCTAGCATATGCATTCCGGGAGTTTTCTTACGGCAGCAGATTTTGGCGACTGGCTGGTGGCGGCAATAGGTCGGGTGGCTACATACCAGATCTGGAACTTTTCGGCAGATTTTGGAAATCGACAGCCGCTCGATCAGACGGCAACTCCGATAGGGGTCTCTATGTCCAAGCTTCAAAAAAGTACTCCTGTTTTGGGAATTTTCAAACCTTGCTTTTGTTTAATTTGTGAAAAATCTAACAAATCTTAATCAAATTGAGCCATGTTCTATTTATCTTATAGGGCGTATTTGGTAGGATATAATAATTAATTTGTATGCAAAGTGTAAGGACTTAAATGGCTTATACTGTTTCGATTGATTATTTAATGTCAATGATAGAGCACTTTTAAAAATATTAACATTGTAGCATGTAAAATATTTTACGTAAGAGGGGTAGTAAAATCCTTAGCATGCTTTTGTAAAGCATTGCAACACCTTTGTTGCATATTAAAAACAAATATCACATTTAGTTTAGTCAAATAATGTAATATATTTTACATGCGAAATGATTGCTTCCATAAACTTTGCATGCAATCATTTCACGTGCAAAGAAATAATGTGTAAACTACCAAACGAAGCATATATTATTGAATCATGAGTAAATGGATTGGATGAAATGAATAACAAAAATCTTTTGCATTTATTCCTTCTCATTGGTTCATGTGAAGGCAATCCAATAGAACTTGAAAAGGTAACATGAAAAACCGAACATAGGGTCTGTTTGCAACAGCTTCTGCTTTTAAAAAAGTGCTTTTTTTAATGAAATGGGGAGAAGTGATTAAATAAAAGTTGATAGTGTTTGAGAAAAAAGTGATTTTGAAAAGTAAAAGTGGGTAGTGTTTGGTAAAATAAGTGCTTTTATAATTTTTTCTTTATTTTATTAATAAAATATATTTTAAAAATAATTGTTTCTTAAATCAGCAGAATCCGCCAATGCAGCCACTTCAGCCAGAACTTCAGAAATTTCAGCAGAATCAGCCAAAACAGCCGATTTTCGTGCTACCAAACGGGCTCAAAGTGTTTTTATTTCAGGTCGATTGTTGATAATATTGTAGTATCCTTTGAGATCCAATATTCTTTTCAAAAGGAAAAAGACATGGAAAAATGGTTACATGACCTCAAAATTAGAGCATCTCCAATGCTATAACGTGTACGGTGCACACGTGGAATGAGAGATGACCACATAAATATTAGTACATAAATTCTTTCTCTCCTTATTTAAATGATTTTATATAGTTTTGGTAAGTTTTTCTCCACAATGTCAAGGAGACCGTCTAAATGTTGACATTGTTGTTGACATTGCAGGGAAAAACTTACCAAAATTGTATAAAATCATTTAAATAAGGAGAGAGATAATTTATTTGCTAATATTTATGTGGCTATGACTCATGCCACATGTGCACCGTGCACATTAGAGCATTGGAGATGCTCTTAGAGCATCTCCAATGCTAAAACGTTAACGGTGCATACGTGGCATGAGAAATAACCAATTAAAAAAACAAGAAATATAATATCTCTCTCCTTATTTCAAGGATCTTACATCATTTTGGTAAGTTTATCTTCACAATGTCAAGCACAATGTCTAGATGTAGACATTGTGATTGACATTGCAGGCAAATACTTACCATAAACACGTAAGACCGTGGAAAGAAGGAGAGAGATATTGTATTTATTGTTTTTTAATTGGTTATTTCTCATGCCACATATGCACCGTTAACATTTTAGCATTGGAGATGAATAAGACATAATTGAGTGGAATGAGATTTCATGTGATCATTTATGGTGAAAATGAGTTTTAATAGCAGGCGAATCAAGTTAATTATGGGATGTGTTTTGAGTTTCGACCATTAATTACTATTATCGGTTTGATAATTTCATTCACAATATATTAAAAGGTATGCACGTAATTACGTATTACATAGAAATTCAGAAAACGTTGCTGAATTGACCCCAAACATGTGTAATATTTGATTTGAATAACTTATTATATTTTATTTTGTTTTAAACGTTTTAGATTTCATTAGAAAGATCCTATCAAGATCTAAAACTCGTATTTGTACTTCATTTAGAAAATATTAAACAACTTTCATTTATAACTACTTTCACTTGAGCCAGGCCGGGTCGGGCCTTTTGTGGTTGGGGGAAGGCCGGGACCGGCCCGGGTTGCCATCGGGTCTGGTTCGGGCCGGGCCTTGGGCCGGGTTATTATTATTATTATTATTATTATTATTATTATTATTATTATTATTATTTTGCTTTCCTAACTACCCCCTGACCCTCCCCTCACCCCCACCCCCCAAACCACCCCAAAACATCAAGCCCAACCCAGGGGGAACCCAAAAAAAATGAAAAAAAAAAACATTTTGTCCCGAACCGGGCCCGGCCGGGTCGGGTCTCCATTTTAGCTACCCGAGCCCGTCCCGCTTTTTCCCTATAACCAAGTCATAGACCGGTTTGGGGCCCGAAGCACCAGGCCGGGCCGGGCCCGCACAGTAGCGGGCCGGGCCGGTTCCCAGGTCAGGTGGCCCGAACCGGGTCCATGCCTAATTCAAACAAACATACTATGACCACTATCCTTGCAAATTTACTTTAATGTTTATTACGGAGTACTTTCTTACTTTCTTACACCCTTAATAGACATGTAGCAATGCCTTGGCAAAAAAAAAGACATGTAGCAGTGCGGTGTGAAAGTATAATTGTAAATTTCATACGTAATACGTAGTATGTATTTATGTACATCATGCTCTTCACAGAGATTGAGAGATATATAAGATCTGAGTTCAGGAACTAGGGTCAAGCAATGGGCGAGTGGCTGGTATTTTTCCCGAGACATACCCTAATTTTCTATTCCAGACCAGAATCACTCCAGGAAAGTCGGAAACTAATGTCACCAGGTCCAGTTCCTCCAAATTTGAACCAGAAATCGGATCGGGTACACCCAAATACGGTATTACGGTTACACCTTTTTAATGACCCAGAACATGGGCCACATCCACGCTGAGTGCTACTTCACAGACAACTATATCCTTATTACTAATTACCAAGCATCTACAAAAGGGACGCGAAGAACCACTGGACTGGGTCCACTACCCTGTTTTGACCAAACAAAAATACAATTTAAAAAGAGAGGTATGAGGTATACTACAATGGATGAAACCAAGTTCATAATTTTGCAACTACATGGCTAGAACTTGGAGGTTAGGCAGGAAAGCATCACGAGATAGGAATCAGTCATTCAACAAAACCATATTCCCTCACAGCCTAATAAAAACTTGCTTGAACTGGTTAGGGGACCCCAGGTAGCAGCAAACTGGCACACTATGTTGAACAATCAGCAAGTGTGTCTTCTTCTTCTTCTTCTTTCTTTACTCTGAATACCTTTGTCTGTTTTGATTCAACGCTTCCTTTCAACAGATTGACATCTCGTGGAATCCCTAAAGCATTAGCAAACAATCTCTTTGCAGCTCCCATATGCTGCTCTTTGATCAAGTCATCTTTCCGAATCCCACCCTCACTTTTTACTTCACCCAGCAGAGAGCCTACACCATTGTTATTCATGTCCACTTTCATCTCTGTTCCCCCTTCTTCCTTGATGATGACACCATCCATATGCTGCTCTTTGATCAAGTCCTCTTTCCAAATCCTGCCCTCACTTTTTACTTCACCCAGCAGAGAGCCTATGCTATTGTTATTCATGTCCATTTTCATCTCTGTTCCCCCTTCTTCCTTGATGATGACACCACCCATATGCTGCTCTTTGATCAAGTCCTCTTTCCCAATCCCGCCCTCACTTTTTTCTTCACCCAGCAGAGAGCCTACACTATTGTTATTCATGTCCATTTTCATCTCTGTTCCCCCTTCTTCCTTGATGATGACACCATCCATGGCTTCCCTTCCCCTTTGCTCATCCAAAGCCGTAAAGATTATCTCATTGTTAGACTGCCTAATTTTCTGTCCAAGGGCGTGTTCTATCATTCTGCGAGCCACTTTAAGATCCTTCTTTGGCCTCTCTGTCGCATTTCCTGCCTCGTTTGCATCACCTGAAAAAATCCTCTGACGTGCAGCAAGATATGAAGCTTCTTTCTCGTCAAGTGAAGTGAAATGTTTTGTTTCTGGATTCTCTGCCTGTGAAGAACCTATGCCAAAATGTAAAAACTATTTGAGCTCCGAAAAAATCTTTTTCTTTGATTAATTTTTTTGTTCAGTGTATTTGGGTGTGGGAAGAAAGCATATTCTAATTCTTGTGGGATGCAGCTCCGTTTGGTCTTTCTACACTATTTTATTGGCATCCCATAGAGCAGAAACGTCGACTTCTTCCCCTTGTATTTCCCTCTTCTCAATCTCTCTACCAAACACACAGTAAGGGTCTGTTTGGAGCCCATAAGATGCTAGGGAAAGAAAATAGTAATAAAAATTGTTTTTTGGAAGGCCAAAAAAGAGAGGGCATAAAATAATGGTTTTAACTCAATATATCACTTTTGGATATTTGCCCAAACATATTTTATCAATACATTGCTGATACAAAAGCTAAATAATCAAAATATATTATCACAATATTTCTATTTTATTTTATTTTATTTTATTAATACATCGGTATTTTTTAGTTGGCTTCAGAATATGATGGAATAAAGCAAAATGTTGTGAAGCAGCAGTCAGTCATTGCAATTTTCGACACGATCTTCATCATGGCTCATCCAGACCCCCCCCCCCCCCGCCTTACCACACCGTAGTTGGAGCCTTTGCGGCACTGGAGTAATGTTGTTGTATTTATATTGTTTATTGTTTATTTATTATAAAAAGGTTGCATAGTCAAAATATATGTTCAATTTTTTAAAGAGAGACAATCAATTCTGATTTTTCTTGTATTTCCCAAGCTACAATGAAACATTCAAAATTCATTTTCCTTGTCATTTCTTTTTCCTTTCCAAGTTTCTATACTTTTTTTATTTGATACGGAGCCTAAGTATATAGTATCAAAGGAAAATTCCATCCATATTTACCAAGAGAAAAACATTATACCATCTGCCCCCTCATGCTTTCTTGATAGTACATCAAAATTCAGTGGAGACACCATTTCACCACACTGCTGCAGTACATCTCTAACAAGCACTGACGGGCTGCAATTTTAATTGTTGCTGTAAATATCAACTGTCTGAGATCCAATAAATATAAAACACCCAACTGTTTTCACTGTTAATCCCAAATTTAGAGCACTACAGAAGTTTCAGCTTTAATTCAATTTCGGAAGTCGAAACGCATATCTAAAATCCAAAATGCCACAAAAGAAGATAAGAAAAGAAAGCGAGGAGTAAAATGTTCCGTGTACAAAAACTACAAGAGAAAAGAGGCAAATAAGCCCTCGAACTATTTGCAATTTTGCAATCAGGCCCCTGAACCGGAAGACTTGCAAATACACCCCTCAACTCATTGAAAATCAAGCAATCAGGTCCTTTTTTACCTGTTGGTGCAGGTAAGGAGATCAGAAACTACCGGCACTAGCAGGTAAAAAAGGACCTGATTGCTTGATTTTCAATGAGTTGAGAGGTGCACTTGCAAATCCTCCGGTTCAAGGGCTTGATCGCAAATGCTCAAATAGTTTGAGGGCTTATTTGCCCCTTTTCTCAAACTACAATACTAATATCCAGTATATATATACTGAATTCTGAATTTAAAATGGACTCAAGAAACAAAGTATTGATGTTTCAAGTGTAAGAAATTGGTTGGGCACAAGTATTCCAGACATGAGCATGATCAGGCACTTAAATACAGAATAGTAAAAAGGCGCTAGTTTTCCTTTACGCTTGCAAAGGCATCCAGCACGGCGGCACCCATACTCTTTATCATTATATATGGATTATTTTAAGGCAATGTTTGGAAATCAGAAAATGGTACCAAAACGGGGGGAAATATGGGTGATAATGGTTTTTTATATTACTTGTACATTTGAAAAATGTGGAGGAAAAACAAATCTGATAAAAACATTTACTCCCTCCGTCCCCCTATTATTGGGATGGAAGAGAGTGGTATGGTTTTTAAGAAAAGTAGAATTATGTGGTTGATAATGAGTTGATAAAGTGAGAATAAAGTAAGAATGAATTAGAACCACACAAATGTTACCAAATATGGCATGAGACAAAAATAAAGGGACATCCAAAAATGGAAAAATGGGACAATTATAGAGGGACGGAGGGAGTAACATATATATTAGAGAAAATTGTTAATAAAATGAGTTTGACCAAATATCTAAAATTGACATATTGAGTTTAAAGAAAAAAAATTATCCTCACATTTTCTTTCCTTTTAAATTTCCTCTCTATTTTCCATATTTTTTCCCTATACCTTTCCCTTGGGATTTTACAAGCTCCAAATGGACCCTAAAGCTCTAGTTGCAAAAAAAGTAGCACAGCATGAAGGATAGTCACACTGCAACACCTGAGGTCCAATTACTCATGAACATGTGACCTAGTTTGAAGCACTGGTAACAATATAATGACATGAACTTCAAAAGAACATTTATTTAAAATATTAATTTGCTTGGGAAGGGGGATAATGAATCGAAGTAGGTGCTCAAATGTTCACATACATCAATGTCTCAGAGCATTGCTCAACAACTAAGTGTCGATCCTCTCCTTCACCCTCAGAATGATGAGATAACCTAGCAGTATTAGACAATGATGATGTTCATTTAGCACAAAACAAGCTCAATAAGCAGAATAGTCATTCAAAAGCCACACTGGTGGCACATAAGTGCATTTCATACTTGAGATTTAGCAAACACGGGAAAAGGTAATAGGCCAAGTGTATCCACTATCCACTCACCCAAATATATCAGCAAGCCGGTGTAAAAGATGACGACTATATGAATCCATTGGTTTCAGCTCCAGAACCCCATTGGAACTGCATAATAATATTTCATTACCAGTCATTTCAAAGAAACCAACAGTCCTTCCCTACCTCTCTCCCATGCATAAGTGCAAAAATGATCTAAGACCAGCCAATCAGGTTTAACTACATTCTAGGATTAGATCTTAAATTCATGACTTGTAACATTATCGACTACGGAGTACATTTTATTATTTATACAAAAATAAACCTTCTGGTGGCCTGCTGCAATAAATTGAATTTGCTGGTTTATTGACAAAGATAGAGCTTTAATGCCATCAGAAGTTTCATCTTTAAAACTAACTTTCTATGCCACAATGTTCATCATTAAATAAATAAGTGAATAAACCCTTGAGTCCTGGAGTTTAAATATTTTTTTCTTAAGCAAAACTACATTAAACTTAACAGATAGTATGGTACCATTTTCTTTCAAACATTTATGTTGACTACTACAAAACAAACATATAACTTTAAATTTTAAACACCAACCTACCAAGTTAGAGGTATTATCTCTTGCTTTGCATTAAGATAGTCCCACTAGTCAAAATTGGGCTACATTGCTACACAATCCAGTATAAATCATTATTTGACCTATCAAGACGTCAACAGCATATAACAAGTCTGGCTTTGTCAAGCCCATACACCTTACACTTCAGAATAAATGTTATGGCAGACATGGAAAGACACTTAGACCTTCTATTCAAAAAAAAAAAGTCTTAATCCACAGGTCTCGCAAAACTGTGCTTCCCATACAAATATGGTGGAAGTACCTCGTATCGTCCTGAAGAAATTTAATAAAAGCCTCTTCCATTGATAAAATGAGGTGCTTGCAAGGAAGGTTGTTCTTAACAGTATAAGCTAAATCCTTCACCTGCATTTATGGTTTAAAAATTATAATACTAATAGTGCTTGCAAGATATGCTGCTTCTCTCTCTTCAAGTGAAAAGAAAGTTAATGGCTCTGGATTCTCTACCTCTGAACCTGGAGAAAATTAAAATGCACAGAGTTCATCATTCCATTTTTTTAGCTCTTGAAGAAAAATGAATGGACACCCCTAAACTTCATGGCAAGTCACACAAAGACCATAGTGATAGAGAAAACATTTGTTTATTGTAGCTACAGTTTATATGATACAGATTCCACTCATCTTTCTTTTAAAGAAGAAGTAACAGGATTGATGTCTACTATGCATATTTCATATCCTAAAAGCCGATAAAAGACCCTATAAAGTATGCAAGAGTGTAAACATAGAACTATTCCAGACACATCAATTATAAAAATCCTATCAAGCCTTTGGTATGCAGTTATTGTGGTGCCTGTGGAAAAAACATCTTTATTTAGAGAATTTATCCTAAATAGGACTAAAAACGTTTGTAAATTCCAAAATGGGACTGCCATGTTTTTAATTCCCAAAATGGGACTAATTACTGTCATGTTTTGGCAGTACCAGACTTTAAACATGGCAATATTTTCAAAACTTGACAGTAATTACTCCTATTTTGGGAATACAAACATGACAGTCCTATTTTGGAATTTACAAACGTGTTTGGTCCCATTTCAGGAACTTTCCCCTTTATTTACTAAGAGAAAACACAATACCATCTTCACTTTCTTGATCAGAATCTTCAGGCGAATTCAGTTCACCATACTTCCACAGTAAATCTCTTACAAGGATGGAAGGTCTGCAAATTAAGAATCCTATGAGTGTCACAAGACTAAATTTGAGGCACAGGGAAGAAAATATTGCAGACTTATACAATACAAAAAACATTTACGTATAATACAAAAAAAGGAATGGAGGAAATACTAAATGTATTTGGCATCACAACATTAGTAAGAGGCATCATTTTCACGTACATTGAAGTCCCAGGGCATTGCTCCACTACAATGTGCCGATCATCTCCTTCACCCACTGAATGATGAGAAAATCTAGCAGGACACACAATGATGATGGTCGTGATTTGTAAATTACAAATACTGTTAAAAAGAACATTCAATCTAATAGTCATCACTTACCCAAAAATATCAGCAAGCCGATGTACAAGAAGACGCTTATATGAATTCATTGGTTCCAGGTCCAACACTCTTTTTGAACTGCATAACCATGTTCATGAAGGAGTTAATCCATGAAAACAAACTGCCTCCACACCCCACAGCCCTCCAAACCCAGGTGTAAGTGCAAGAATGGTATGAAAAATAGCCAATAAGGTTTCATTACATTCTCAAATTTGGACCACAAATAAGCATTCAGAAATAGACTCTACTCGCAGATAGGAAAGCACTTGTCAGCAGTTTAATGCAACCTACAGGACTAGCTCCTGTCCTTTTTTTCTGTCCTAGAAGCAGGACTCTTCGGTTTATAAATGTTTGGATAAACAAACACACATATATTTCACACCTCATTGCCACAAATTAAATTTAAAAGTGCATTAAAAATACTATGACTATACCCTGCTTGAGGTTTCAAACTCACTTTCTTTTTCACTAGCGCTCCAAATTCATTACGTAAATAGGCCATGTAAATATTTAAATTTGTTCTTGACTTTGGGATTTAATTTTGGGCAGTATCACTATTAATTCTCATCCTTGACTTTTTACATTCTTCATCCTTACAAAAACAGCATTAATCCTTACAGATAATACAAATTTACTCTCCTACATATCCTTTAAAAGAGGTGATCCTACCCACTGATTCTTGCAATACAAGTTATCTTAAATCCCCCAAGGTTTGAGATACTCTCTACTCCATAAAATCTTAAAGAGGATCCTCGTTCATTTTTTAAACTTCAACCTAGCAAGTTATTTGCAGTATAATGATTTTTCATAAAGGTTGTTTCATCAGTGACATTTAGACAACAAAATCTAGCATAATTATTTCTTCAATCTATCAAACACGTATAACAAGTTGGGCTCAAACCACAGGCCTAAAGTCATAATTAACGGGGTGAAACCAAATAGTACCTCGAATTGTTCTGAAGAAAATCAACAAAGGCATCTTCGACAGATAAGACAAGCTCCTTGCAATAGATATTTCCCTTAACGAGGAAAGCTAACTCCTCAACCTGCACTTACGCTTAAAACAAGCTCTTTAAGGTAATATACGCTTGAAAAGCAGAAGCACTTAAGCAGATAATTTAGTTCAGAAAATTTGGGTTTCGCAATTATGAAAGCATCGATATACGGAGCAAATAATAATTCCAGATGAATCCAATTCGAAAGCATGCGAGACAGCACTGACCATGGCGAACTCGTTGGAACTCATTGTACTTCTAAGATTATTATAGTACGGAATGCTTCGAGGGGAATGTGAGTGGTGGATTCAAACGTTACCTCCACTCCTCCAGCCCTACAATTTGGTACCCAATATACGGTTCCAAGTTCCAAGTTGCTTATCCGGCCGTCTCAATTTGGGGCGGTTCCCGGTGGAATTTTTTGATAAAATTTTTTTAGCATCTTATTCATTAAGTCTAGTTCACTCATACCAAATTTCAGATAAAAATTCAATCGCGAAGACATTCAAATGAATTCTTGAAGATAATTGTGCAGTTAAAAGCGCAGTTATCTTCAAGAATTCATTTGAATGCCTTCCCGATTAAATTTTTAGCTAAAATTTGGTATGAGTAAACTAGACTTAATGAATAAGATGCTCAAAAAAATTTATCAAAAAATTCCACCGGGAACCACCTCAAATGGCACGTCCGGACAGAATCTTCTATGTAAGGACTTATTTGACCACTTTTATGCAACTTCGAGGACCAAACTGACTTTTTACTCGTTTTTGTAAGTAGTTCAAGTTTTTAATTCTAAAATATGATTGATTCCCCCAAAAAAAACTAAAATATGATTTGTTACTTTTTTAAAAATAGAAGTAACAAAGTGTCATTTATTTTCATCTTGGAGTCAAAAGAGTCAAAATAATTGCAATATCAAATATTAGCATGTTAGTATTATTGCCGTTAATGACAGTGTTGAGTTTTATTCCTTCAACCCAAAGGTCCAACATCTTCCCTTAGATTTTGAATGGATAGTGTTAGTGAATGATATGATGCAAGCAAGTAAAGGATGGGTAAATGACAATAGTAGTAAGTAGGTTGTATCTTATTAAATGATAATAAGAGTCTGTATACAACACACTTCAACTACAACTCTCGAGACTGTTCGCCTGTCTCAGTAAGAAGGGCTAGAGATAATTGTTATTGCTAGAGGGAATAAGTTGTCAACCATTTACAATGAAATAAATGTTACTATTTATACTACCAAAAGGTAGGTGATACTGATGATGTGGAAGACTATGAGTGGTTTGGTTTCTTAACCACCAAATCTACTGCATTAAATGCGCTTCCCGCCAATATCTTGATTTCCCGCCAAAAGGTCTGGACGAACGTTCCCTTACCGTTGAGCTCTGGGTGTATATCGGCACAAGGGTGCTGACTCCGCTTGGCCCGTGCTAATCGTCCTCCTCGTAGCCCCTGGGTCACCACCTGGCTCACTGGGCCAAGAGTCTTGGAGCCGATCGTCTGCTCTGTGGAGACGAGTGTCTGGCTGGGTTCCTTGCCGGATCATGCCCAAACAGGGGCTTGATGGTTTCCTTGTTAAGGAGTAATGGGCTGTTCCACTATCGGGTCACTAACCCAACAGACAGTACTTTGAAATTTCAAAACATGTTTCTTCCTATTTAGCGCAACTAGTATTCCACCCGTGCGTTGCACGGGATGAGAAATTTAGATATTACTCCCTCTGCCCCAATATAAAGAGCACATTTGTGTTTTCAAACATATTTAGGAAGAACACTGTTTGGCACTGTTTTGTTTGCCAAAAAGGGAAATGTTCCTTTAAAGTAAGCTTTCCAAATATGCCAACAAATAATACCAGAGAGATTTTTTTTGTAAATAAATCCACCAGTGTGTTGCTTCCAAATTTGTGCCACCATAACCTCAAAACTTGTTTGATAGAGCAATTAGGGGGAGCAGTGATACCAAATATGCCCATGAAGTAATTCCTAGTTGGTTGCTCATGTTCACAACAATAGAAAAGATGTTTCATAAAGTCACTTTGACTCTTTGACAAAAGGCACATAGAAGGATGTCGCATCTATTGAAACCTACCCAGCTTATCATATATAGGAAGGATACCATTCAAGATCTTCCATTGTAACATTTTTATTTTCATTTTTTGTTAAGGATGTCAACTATGAGCAAAAGAAAAATTTGCAGGCAGACCATTCCTTATCTCTTCAAAAGTAGATCTATAGGAGAAATTTCCATCCTCAGTTGCCTCCCAGTAGATGGCATCACAAGAAGATAACAAAAATAAGAAACCTCTGAGCCTGCAAGTTTTTCTTTGGGGCCGAAAGAAGTCAGTCCAAATAAAATTCCCAGTTTTCCATTTCCATAGTCTGACCCTTGAGTGAGACTCCATCAAGAAGCTTCACACACTTCAATCCCTACCTAACAATTAAGAGTGCCCACATTAGTTTAAACACTGCTAATAGTATAAACATATTATACATTCAAAAAATGAAAGAAAAAAAGTAACCTGAAAAGATGGAATGTACCTTCTATGGCGATATGTATTCGTAAAAACAAACTATGCTGAATTCCCAAGAAAAAATGTCATAATAGCAAAAAGATCATCAAAACTTCAAGTTCATACATGCTAAAGTTTCATCTTGAGTCTTCTTATTATAAAAGTAGAAAGAAAAAAGTGGACAAATCAATGGACATAGTATTTAGTAGAGAAAGAAATTCAGCTTATATATTGAGGTCCTTTTTCTATAATTTGATATATGCAGTTTTTTTATTAATCACATAATCTTTTAGTTCAAATCATCATATTATGGATTTCATTAATATCTGAGTGAGGTCAAACACAGATGGATTAGAAATGGCTCCAAAACTTGAAATAAAACTTTAATGGAAATGCTTTCAAAATGAAACAAAAAAGGCCTACTGAAACGAATCATAAAGCTTAGTTTAAAGAGCAAAAGGCTTTGATTACTTTTGCATAGGTCATAATCCTATTGCAAGCTAACAAACTGGATTTGTTCATACCATCATACAGCTGCAATAAAAAACAAAGAAAAAATTACGTGAGAAGGAAAACAACAAACCAACTATTAAGAAATAAATCATCTGCAAGCTAATAAATCATCTGCAAGCTAAATCATCATAATGCTATTTTAAAACGCGTAGAAATTTCAGCTTTGCATTTGATCAAACATGTGATATATAAAATAGAAGAACAAAAACTAAAAGTGCTTGATTACTTTAGGATAGGTCATAATCCTATTGAAAGCTAACAAACTGTATTTGTTCATACAATCATAAAGCTGCAATAAAAACAAACAAAAAATAAAGTGAGAAGGAAAACAACAAACCAACTATTAAGAATAAATATGTCATAATCAACTGCAAGCTAATAACTAATATTTGTTCTTATCATCATAATGCTATTTTAAAACACATAGAAATTTCAGCTTTGCATTTCATCTCACATGAGATATATAAAATATAAGAATACAAACTTAAAGTGCTTGATTACTCTACATAGGTCATAATCCTGTTGCAAGCTAACAACCAGGATTTGTTCATACCATCATAAAGCTGCAATAAATAGCATAACCATACGGCCATACCTTTCTGATAATAGCTAAGTTTGATAAGTTCAACTCCATAGAGATGGTGAAAGGAAAAGAAACTAAATATAATCAAAACCACAATAATGATGAAGTTTCACATAGATGGTGAAAATGGTTCTTTGAAACCTAAAAACCGCAGTTGCATTGGTAGCATTTCTTTTGCAATGATTCAAAGTTGGATCTTTAGCAATGACCGGTATCTCATATAGCAATAAAAATGATTCTGTTTTTCCAGCTTTGTGTTCCTGGATTGCTCACAGACTAAAGTAATGATATATGCCTGGGTTATAACTAAATCCCTGTTACAAAAAATGAAACTATATGAACAAAAAAATGAATAGAAAATCTTAGCAATATGAATTGACTTGAGACAGAGTTTTTGACTATAAATCTGCTGCTTTATGAAAGTTGAAATATGGAAAGTTGTTTTTTAGAATTGTACACAAGCTAAAAGGAAGGAATTTTTATCAAAAGAAAAACATAATTTGATTCAACGATAGTTCTTTGTCAGGTTTTAGCATTTGTGTGAAAGATTTAGAGCCCGTTTGGTAGCACGAAAATTGGCTGATTTGGCTGATTCTGCTGAAATTTATGAAGTTCTGGCTGAAGTGGCTGCATTGGCTAATTCAGCTGATTCAAGAAAAAGTTATTTTTCAAATATATATTATTAATAAAATAATGAAAAAATTATATGTAAAAATAGATAAAATGATCATCTACAGTAACTTCAGCCAATAAAGCCATAAAAGTAACCCCAACCTTACTTTTTCTGCTTATTACACAATTCAGCACGCGAAAGCAAAAATTGCGTGTTTGGTGAAAAAATTGGGTGATAAGAATGATAAGCCAAAAAACAGTAGTTCCAAACGGCCTCTTAAAAATGAGTGAGTTCAACTAAACTGTGTTTTACACTAAAAGTTAGCATAAAAAAGGAATGAAGCAAAACTTTTAAAAGCCTACTTTAGTAGGTTTGAGTATTAATATCAATGTGTATCAAATCAAACCAAAATACTGGACAGTTCTAAAGGAAAATCGTAGAGTTTTTTTTTTAATTTAGATTTATACTTTTTAAACTAATCAAGATGAAATGTGATTCAACAATGAAACAAAATTTGCCAAATTAGAATGTTAATACAAATTTTATGACTTAACTAAGAATTTTACGAAATTGCCATAATTTAGCTTCTACAACAAATGAACCTTACAACAGGGCACAATTCAGACATAGTTGTGAAACGTGTGATCAATCATAAAGATGAAACCCACTAATAAGCTATGAATTTTGCCAAGGATTTTTGGCCAAACCATAGTACAGTGAGTGTTGAGGAAAAACGAATATCTCAAAGTCAAGCGTTAAAAATCATGTACATTTGAATCTCCTTAAAACTAAATAAATGGCTGACTTACTGTTAGATCTTCAAGTTAAAAAAGAAGAGGAAACCATTCTTAAGAGTTCAGAGCATCTTAATGGTGGATATGGATTTGAAAATTTTCTGGACAAATTTCTTCTTGGCGGTTGAATTAGAGCAGGCATATGGATGATGAAGAGAAGAGAAGGCAGAGAATCTAGGACGGTCCAGTTCCCTAAACTGGACTTGGATTTGAACGTGGTCTTCGGAAGACGAAGCAATCTTCCACGGAAATTGCAAGAGGTGTTTCCGGTGCAGGTTGAATTGGAGCTGGCATCTGCGTGAAAAGAGGAAGAGGAGAGGAGACGAAGGCGGTAAAAGAAGAGCGGGGGAGAGAATG